CACTGTCCTTCTCCTTACCTACTCCTTCTTCTTCTCTCTCTCTCTCTCTCGCGGGCACGCGCGCCCTCTCCCCCCCCTCTCTCTCTCTCTTCTTCCCTCCCTCTCTACGTTTCTCTCCCTTTTCCCTCCCTCCCTCCCTCTCTCTTTCTGTCCCTCTCCCCCCTCTCCCCCCTTGCAGTGACCCATTGCCCCAACAATTTGACCGCTGGCCTCCGTACACAGAAGCCGGGCGCGTGGGTTTTAAGATATTTTCCCAGTTGAGTCCCCTAAGCACTGCATGTGTACACAGTGATCAGCGAGTCAGATTCTGGGGCTTAGACGCGGGGACCTACCTCAGTCAGGGATTTTATTACGGGAGCAATAATCAGAAGTCCAATTCAGCCGATAATTTATGCGCGCCATCTATGAGCGCATATTTATATCAAACATGAGGATAGATGAGTCAAGCACGTGTTAATCGTCGCATAAAAATCCTCTCGAGATTCTCTCTCTGCTTCCTCTTCTGTCCAACAGATGGCGTTGTCGGGCCTGGATTGGTCGAGCAAGCAAAGGGCAGTATTTGGACTGCCACCTTGCTTGAAAAAAAGGAAGTAAAAGATAAGAAAAAAAAAACAAAAAAAAAACAAGGTCATACCATTCGGGACACTAAAATGTGACCTCTTGCACCCACAATAACAAAGACACAGCTGCTCCACCGGCCCCACCCCCTCCCCCCTTCAATCTACCCCCTCCCTCCCCCCGAGTAACATGTCCTGGTGGGTTTATTCCGAAAACAGCTCGTCGATTTCATATCCATTAAAATTCATGTCAGATGCTAATATCGTGTTTAATGGCTCTCTCTTTTTTTAAACTTCCCTCTCTTGGCAAAAACGGTAGGCACTATTACGAGATTTTTATATTGGTATTAAATCTAGAGTGAGTGTACCGGGAACAGTATGCAAATATTTTCCTTTTTTTCCTTTTCCTGGAATGTGGAAGAAGGAAAATTTATAGAAGCTCTCGCTGAATGTCATATCTTGGACAGTCTATTTCTCTTTCTACATAATCATCTGTCAGTATATCTATGTATCAATCAGCTTACCTGTCTGTCTGGGAAACTATATGTCAAAATACTGGTTTCTCTCTCTCTCTCTCTCTCTCTCTCTCTCTCTCTCTCTCTCTCTCTCTCTCTCTCTCTCTCTCTCTCTCTC